TTTCCGACCTACTAGTTTCCATATTTAAAGAAGTAAAATAAATCGAAATTGAACTTACCCATAGAAATTGCACTGTTGCCGTAGCAAAACCAATTAATTCAAAATAAAGTTTATTACAGTAATTGTTCAAAATGCCGTCCATTATTATTTACACACACTTGCAATCGTCTTTCCAAAGAACTTTGAACATTAGAAATTAGTCTTGGATTTTGTCGTAGTTCCTCGGCTACCGCATTAACTTTATTGGTCAATTGTTCAACACTATTAATAGGTTCATTATAAACCAGTTGTTTCATGTGACCCCACAAAAAGAAATCGCATGGATTTAAGTCCGGAGATCTCGGAGGCCACTTAGTAGGTCCATTTCTGCCTATCCACTTTTGAGGAAATCTAATGTTCAAAAACTGCCGTACGTTTAAATCAAAGTGAGGAGGAGCGCCATCTAGTAGGTACCACATCCGTTGCCTTAATTGTAACGGTATCTGTTCTAGGAGTACTGGCAAAATATCTTCTAAAAAGTGGAGATATCCTGGCCCATTTAATCTGTTCGGGAGAACATAAGGCCCGATTAAATACTGATCTATTATGCCAGCCCAAACATTTATTGAAAATTTTCTTTGATGCCCAGTTTCCCTAATGGCGTGAGGATTTTCATCACTCCAAATATGCGTATTGTGCATATTGAACACGCCATCACGAGTGAATGAAGCCTCGTCAGTATACAATAATATTTTTAGAAAATCAGGAATATCAACACATTTTTGAATCATCCATTCACAAAACTCCACTCTCTTTTTTTCATCACCTGGATATAAGGCCTGGACTTTTTGGATGTGATAAGGATGTAAACCTTGTTCTTTAAGTGTCCGCCACACAACAAATGAGGACACTCCAATTTCAAGACCTAGTCTTCTATAACTTAATTGAGGCCGGTTTTCAACAGCTTCCAATATTTCTTCTTCGGCCGCCAATGTTCTTTGTGTTCTTGTTCTCCCTCGATCTGCATTGACACTCTCAAATTTTCCATGGTCTCTTAGATGCTGAACAGTTGAAATAAACGTACGACAGTCCGGAATTCTCCGATTTGGAAACCGTTCGCGATACAGGATTTGTGCTTGCCGAGAATTTTCTCCAGCTGCCCCATAAACCAGCACTATATCCGTTAGTTCAATATTCGTAAATAGTGGCATCGTAAAAAAATATTTAAAAGTAATCGTAACAACACTTTTTACCAACTTGGAAATGACGTGCTCGTGTTAGCCAGATTCGTAAATCAACTAAAATTTTAATAATCTATAGTTTCAAAAATGTATAGTTTAAAAACAATCATTTATCAAATATTCTAGTTTTTTGATAACGAAGGTAGTAAAAACCAGTCTTCGGAAATAGAAATTAATTCGAAAATATTGGCAACATGGTTATTTCTTACAAGACTAGTTTTCTTATCATCTGACAAAAACTTGCATATTAATTACTGTTGATGTTTAAAATAGGTAAATAAACCTAATTTATATAGGTCATCCTCAACATATCAGTGAAGTACGTTTGTTTTAGAATTAATTTTCAAAAATTAATAACTCCCTTAATAAGGGGTATTTTTAAAAAATAATATTTTTCTACATTCAGTGGGGATCTGCGCAATACCCAGTTTTAATATGTACGTGTATTTCAATAACACCCTGTATAGTTTGGTTACCATTCAAATCATATGCAACTGACTTCGGAGATACCCGGTCTATTGCCGTTAAGCGTTTCTTCTCATTAGAAAAACGCTTATTACAAAATCCTTCTTTTCACATATCTTACTGTGAAGTGAGGCAAGATTATCTACAAAGTGGACATATACAGGTGGTCCCAGTTCCGTCTCCGAAAGAAATAAATAATTATTTTTACATAGCGCATCATGCCGTAATTAAAAAGGATTCTAGTAGCACGCCTCTGCGTGTTGTGTTTGATGCTTTCAGTCATGCCTCAAATAAACCTTCTTTAAATACTACCTTGTATATAGGTCCGAAGTTGCAGCGGGACTTGGTAAACATTTTATTGAATTTTAAATCTCATTTAATTAGAGTAATTGGGACTCAAAAATTCTTACGTTTGAAGAACTAAGTACGGTCTTAACTCAGATTGAAGCCGTCTTAAACTTACGTCTATTGTGCGCGATGAGTTCTGATCCAAATGACTTAGCTGCATTGACGCCTGGTCATTTTCTTACCCTTGAACCGTTATCGGCATTACCAGATCCGGACTTTACGGATCTTAGCATGAATCGGTTATCGCGATGGCAACTTTTACAACGTTTTCATAGAGATTTTTGGAATAGATGGCACAAAGAATATCTACACACATTGCAGCATAGAATTAAATGGGACTCTTTAACATCCCCTGTGCCTTCTGGTACCATGGTTCTCATTAAGAATCAAACTACTTCCCCCTTATAATGGGTTCTAAAGCGCATTGTTAAATTAATTCCTGGATCAGATAATAGAGCTCGCGTTGCTATTATGCAAACTGCCAAAGGTCAATACAAACGTCCTTTGGTTAAGCTGTGTTCTTTACCTAATGCTTAATGATGAAAATGTCAGCATTTTCATGGGGGTGGGAACGTTCTGTTCATGTACACTTATATATTTTGTTTTCTATTATTTTTATATACATATATATTTATTTTTATTTGGGTATACAGGGTGTCCCGAAATTATACGGTCATATTTTAACAGCGTAATCTACATCCTAAAATAGGAGTAAAAGTTCATATAAACATAGGTCCGAAAAAGTTTCGTTTTAGAGATACAGGGTGTTACAAGTGAAGTTCTGTAAATATTTTCTAAAATTTCCTTTAGTCACCGGTTTTCTAAAGTAAAAAAAAATAAAATTTTTGATATCACAGGCATACCAATTATTGTTTACATTTTCGAATAACTTTTCATGAAATTTTCAAACGCTTTTTTCTTGAAAATGGTACGTCCTAGAGAGATGCAACAACAGTAGCTTTATTATAAAGAAAATATTGGTTTTACAAATTTTATAGTCAAAAATATTAGAAACTGTCAACAAAAAAAACTTGGGGCAATTTTACTCTAAGCCCCCCTAATTTACCCACCTATGAAGATGATCAAAAACTGGGGTTCAGTCCATTAAATAGATGGTAAAAAGGTAAGCAATTGTACCAAATTTCATTTAGTTATCTTAAAACGTTTCGAAAATATTTACAAAAGTGTGTCATCAGGACTTCACTTTTAACACCCTGTATCTCGGAAAAGAAACGTTTTCGGACCTATGTTTATATGATTTTTTACTCCTATTTTAGAATGTAGATTACGCTTTTAAAATATGACTGTCTAATTTCGGGACACCCTGTATATTATTTATATTTTGTTTATGACCGCTTTGCGTTTGTTAATATTAATATTTCATAATTTTTATATTTAATTACGACTAAGGTTTACTTGATTCATTTTTCTCCATTTCCCCCTATTCCAATACTCAACCGTCCTATTTCTATACTTTGGACCTTTTTTTGTCCTTCACCGATTTAAAAGTCTGTCGAACTGCGACACATCGAAAACGAATGTTATCGTGTTAAATTGTGGGCTATACAGTTTAAAATTAATCCCAAGAGGCAACATTTTGTGAACCTGTTAATACGGCTTTTATTTACCTCGCATTGCGCGACTTCAAGGGAAGTTTCATCCTCAGGACATAAGGAAGACGATTGCCCTTCCTTTCTATCCGGTTTGAGTAAACCTTTAATTTTTTCATTCTTTTTTATTTCATTTTTTATTTATTATTAAAATAATTAAATCAACACTAAAAGGTGAAACATTAAATTTATGAACTCAGCGCCCTTATCATTCATTACTAACAGCCCGGAACTACTAAGAAAATAATGATATAATTTTGGATATATAATAATCATTAAATTTTAGTATAACCTTTTCAAATCAATAAATAAAAAATGTTAGTTATTTGGTTTATAAATAATATTCCTACATTTTCAAAATATTAACACTTTTGTAATCGGCCCTTTCATCATAAATGTACTTATCTTATCGAAAGCTACATAGTCAGTAATAATAGTCTCCCTAATTCACTCCCTTGTAAGTGGATTTCAACCCTAAAGCCGAAAACCAAAATTGCCTTTTTCTACGGTCACTATCCAAAGTAGGCTTTTGCGTTTTGAAATAAATCACAAAGTTGACGTTTTCCGCGAACTGACATTAAGTGACAGCTTTGTTGCTTGCCTAATTTAAATTAGATACCTATGATATAATATATTTCTTTTTAATAAATGATTTTGAAGTTATTTGTACGTAGTTTGATGTTTTTTCTTTTATTATCCAAGTTAACATTGACTTTGAATATCAACTCTTTTTTTATGAATAACGTAGATATAGACAAGCCGTCAAATTTTAATTATTATATTTATTTCTTAAAATAATGTATTCGTAGAAAAAATCTTGTGTGCATTTTTAGCAAAAAGTTCGTTAGTGCTTTCGACAGATTGCCTCTCTTCGCTACGCGTCACGCGGCAACTTTCTGTCTCAAGCGGCAAAGTATTACTTTTCGCTATTAATATACAAATAGCTATTATGGTTTTTACTGTACAGCAATAGACCCTGTATATTTTTCAAATACTGTGATGTTTCCCAAAAAAGTCACCTTTTCTATTTATTTTTCTTCGTCACAGTTTAAAATATAACAATGCAGGTAAATGTTAAAAGCAAATTCTAAGACACCAAACACTAAAGTAAACCATGTTAAAATGTGCCGCTTAAATAGAAAATTAATTGGTTCATTATAAAAAACTAAAAATACGGATCTGTTGCATTGTTTTATGTCCACCTTGTATAAATATTACAAGAGAATTATTAAAATAAGAACACACTTTTGTCATGCCCGCTTTTCTTTATTAACAAAGTTTTGTAGAGCTTTCAAAATGGATTTACGTCAAAGAAACTCTCATAATTTGATCAAAACTCAATTTTCTCGATTTGCAGGAGGATAAATGTGAGTTTTCCCGTCTCCGGACCACTTTCCCAGTACAAAGAGGACCTTGAGACGACCCCCAAGGAGTACATAATTTTTTGTAATTTAATAGAAGGAGAAATTAGAGGAGTCGCTGCAGTGAAATGGAGTGAGAATAACGACTTCAGGGTTTGGAAAATACTGGGTAAGTCTTGGAGTATTTATTTCTAATTACATAGTACGAGATAAAATGATTAAACTAGAAATTATTAAGGATTAAAAAAATATAATAGTTTATTTTAAATTGCATGTTCATTATTATTTTTAAGAGGGTTATAAGCAAGTATTTTCTTTTGCTTATTTATTTTTTGAGTAAATAATTGCTAGTATGTCAATATAAGGAGTTCCTTGAGTTATCAGCAAATACTTTCAAACTTGAGTCAATAGTCCTTTGACCAAAAACAAAGTGTTTACTTTAGGAAAGGAATAAAACTAATTAATAAAAAGGCAGGTGATTTTAAACATGTAAACACCTTATTTAAAATAATTAAGTTATTACTTGTTGGTAATCTACACAGTGATTCATCAAGAATGGGCAATCTCTGAACTACAGATAAAAAACACAAAAATATGAAGATTTATCCCAACATGCCTCATAAAAATGTTACTGGTTTATGAGATGCAGAGTTCAAGGAGAAAATTTTATTTTAAAATTTCTTAATAACTTAATAACTAAGTTTTGACAGCATGAACATAAAAATTGGTAGTTTTTTGACATGAGGAATACAAAGGACCACGCCCTTTTCTTATTCAAAATTAATTTTTGATATGTTCCATAACTTGATGTCCCTGTCAAAAGTGTCTATGTGCCCAATTCTAACCTATAGCTAGATTTTGTGATACAGGGTGTTGAAGTTCCCTAATTCTTTAAAATAAACCTTAAATATTTTTGGAAGTTATTCGCTTATTCTGTGTAGTAAAAACACATACCTAAATACTATAATCAAAATATTGTTACTTACATGGTGATTCATTATACCGCAGATCATTTTCGGTCAAAGTAGGTATTTCTATCGAAAAAAAAAAAAAAAGTTGAAATAATGAAAAAAAAAATATCAATGTCAAAGTCTCTGAATATTTGATATTATACAGTTATTGATGTATTTTTTAAAATTCTCAGTAAAATTGGATCCTATGACTAGTTTTATATATACAACTTAATATGCACCCAAAGACATTACAACATAGAGACAAAATGTTTCATTCATAAATCCCATACAATTGCGGACTGTTATTGTTTTTAAATTGTTAGTGAGTGGAAGAGAGAAAGACAGATCTCTTATGACCGGCTGGCAACGTTGTAAACAGTGTCCATAATATGCTCGCCAGTGGCGTAGAGTTTTAAACTTACAGTATTGTTAGAGTAGTATGTTAAAAAATACGTAAATATGTAGGTATATTTTTTTAGTAATATAATTATAATGATTTTTTCATGTAGGTAGATTAGATTAGGAGTTGGACGTTATTTGTCCTTGTCCACCGCGACCTCTTCAGATCTATTGTGGGACTCCGTTTGTTTTAGAGTATGTCGTCTAGCCTGATCTTTTTTTATTAGACTTAGTAGCTTAGACAGTGGATCCCGCATGTAGTTGCATGCAATTGGCTTTTTTTCGCCCATCGTTAGAAACCTCATTCCAGCCAGGCCTTGACACATGACGTGGAATGATGTTTCCTCTTCTTCTTCACAGAACCTGCACAAAGTTGCTTCTTCTGCCGGATTTGTGATACTCATGTGCCTTTTGAGGCGACAGTGTCCAGTAAGAAGGCCTACTGTTATTCTAACGATTTGACGCTTTTGATTCAGTAGGTCTTTCGTGAACTTCGCCGATGGTTCCTTGATGAACTGTTTGGCCTGTCTCAGTCTTGAATAGTTGTTCTACCATTCCTGAGACTCTTTTTGTATCCATTGTTTAATGGATGCCTTGCACAATGCCTTAGCAACTCCACAGAAGGGTCCGGGGCCTGTCATGGCCTTATCTGGCCTCCTCGGCCTAATTAGTCGGCCTTTTTGTTGCCCTGATATTCTTCATGGCCTGGAACCCAGGCTAAGGTCACCTTATTTTAACTACTTCGCTCTGTCAGGTCTTCTAGACAGTCTGTTACCAGTCGTGATTTGATTTCTGGTGAGAGAATTGCCTTCAGAGTATATGACAATAGTTTTGCATGATACTTGTGATTTTTCATGTAGGTAAATTCAAATACAAGCGAATTCAAGTTACCTTTCGATTTTTAATATTTATGGGTTTATAGTTTATTGGCATTTACTATATATTTGCCTGGTATGATGTTAAACAAAATTATTTAAAATTTTAAATTAACATTAAGTAGGTAGGGGTATCTAAATAAAACACTGTCCTAAAAATATATAATTTTTTAATTAATAATTACAAAAAACATCATATGGCAAAAAATATCGTAAAAAAACTGTAAAAATTTTTAAAATAATGTTTTAAATATATAAAATACTTTCACATTTCATTCATAAAAATTGTAAATTCGTAAAATAAGATATTCAGCGTTGCCGTATTTACGGAGTTCTTCGAAACCCTAATATTTTGTTTAGATTAATATTGATTTTTTAATAAAAAATTTAGCTTATATTAAAACTTCAAAGAATAATTTGATTAAAAATGTATTTTTATTTATATAATATACAATTATAGTTACAGGACACATCAAATTTTATTTTTCGAAAGTAATTTCTCCAAATATTTTTGACACACTGATAAAATCGACAAAGACGCAATAAACGAGAATCTGGTGGGAATAATGATTTGCCACATAAAAATGTAAACAATTTGGTCTCTTAGTTGTAATTTCTTTGTATGCACCTAATATTTATGAATTTTAAACAATAAATATATACTGACATAAGTAAATATGTTGAAGAGAAAATATTTGGATAGTTTGCGTTGGATTAGGAATATACCCCTTGTACTATAAGTATACATGCAGGGTTATACATTATGCTATTACACATTTTTATTTGGCTTGAACATTGCCATAAGTACCCCTTTATATTGTTAGATCTATTTATTTAAACTTTTTTAAAGAATATTTAAATGAGCTACTTAATCTACTAGAAGATGTTTCACTCGTCGTAAGGCAAAACATGTGAAATATGCAGGATGGGTCGCCACCATATTGTTCTCAGTCTGTGCGCCAATATTTGAATGAACCATAAGTATAATTAAGGTTAGGAGGGCATACGAGAAGTTCACCTTGTTTTATCGTTTTCTTATTTTTCATCTTATTTTCGGTAAATTGCTTTAGAACTTCTCGTATGCCCTCCAAACCTTCGTTCAGGTGAACGCATGTCGCAACGACGATTACATCACGCACATTTGGACTACTGCGCTTGCGCAAAAATCTTGGTGGTGAGGGTAATGAATTATTTGTTTAAAGTATTGAGACATTAAAGACTCTTCCAGTCTACTGAGACATTTTCTAAGAGTAGCTTCTCTAAAAATAACAAAAAAATGTCCTCATTGTCAAAGACTGATTATTTAACTCTCTTGAATCTAAATGAAATTGACGCTTTGTCGCCGCAGGAAATGGCACAAGATTACGAAGAATTGTCCAAAGAATGGTATCACTTAATAATTAATTAAAAAGACTTTAATTTACTTGCTTGTGCTCCAAATATTAAATGGTATTCTATTTGTCGATGTCATCTAATAGCAGACGATGGTAGTACAGCACATGAACATCTTCACGCTTTAATACATTTTACTAATCGATTTACAATGTTAGCCTACAAGAAAAAACTACAGCGCACTGGTACACGACTCCATTCAAAAACAACTTTCAAGAAAATAATTTGCTTGGGCCATGCTGTTGGTGTCCTCAGATACATCACCTGTGCTGATGGACAAAAGCCGCTTAGAAGGGATTGAGATGGTCTTAGAGGTACACTTCATTCTCATTACGATAAAAGAGTATTTAAACAAGATTGGTTACATTCCCGAGGAAAACAGTGTTGCTTAGTACGCACAGAAATTTCAGAATTAGCGTCTGAAGGTGTAAAAGACTTAGAAAACTACACATCTGAACACGAACTTCATGATAAATCCACATATAGATGTGATAGAGGTGTCGAAGGAATAAGGCGGAGGGGAGAAGCTAACGAGAAACGAAGACAATTTTACAAAACAGAACGGGGAATTGAAATTAGGAATAATTAAAAAGAAAAGCAAATTAAGAAAAAGAAACTAATTACAAGTTTACTGAAAATGGGCCTAAATAAAAAAGCTGAGCTTCAAAGAGAGACAATTTTGAAACTTATTGAGTTACTGTAAATATTTAATACTGTTACTTAAAAAATATAATTTTAAAACAAAATGTATTTTATTTTCATTGTCCAATGTTGACTTTACCCTATAACAAATAACTTTCACCCATTTAAATTATTATAGTCCGGGATCCGTAAGTAATATCGACCTTCACCCTTTTTTAAGTCCGACCAATAATAATCAAGATACATGGTTAGGCCCTTCCGGCTTCGCACGATTTTTCTCCTTAGCGTTAATAGAGATTTAATTTCTCAACACTCTTCCGTTTTCCCCCGTTTTAATCTGACCAATAATAGTGGAGATATACGTTAATGCCCTTTTGACTACTTTCAGTCTACCGGAAATTATTAATCCAGATTATTTAAAAAAAATGTGTGAGAATTTTAAACATCATTTAGATTCTAAAGTAATAGTTATTAACAATACCCCCGTAGTCTACCCGGTGATGACATCTAGCTGTGTGTATACGTGAGGTATACATTACCACCATCTGAACTCTTCTTGAACCCTAGTTAAGCCTGCTCCTCCCAATATATCATGTTGCGCCATCTACCTGCCATTATCTTAAGCCTTGATTTAGAACGGTGTCGGCCATCTTGGAAAAGCTTAGCAATTTTACACGTTAATTAACATAAGGAAATGGAGTAGCAAACTTTAACGCCTCTAACCTAAAACCCTCCAAACTCTAGACTTACTTAAAATTAAAATATCCCATATCCCAACCTATTAATTGTTGAAATTATAACCTAGTACGCATGGCGCACCCTAGTGCGCATAGCGCACTGAGCCTGGATCGGATGTCGGCTGCGTCTGTCTGTCTGGGCGGGCTCAAGCTTCCCTACTTCTACTCACA